TGACCCCGCCCAGTGACCCCACTCAGGAACCCCACCCACCCACTGACCCTGCCCAGCCTGAACCCTGACCCCACCCAGCAACCCTACTCCCTAACCCAGTCCTGCCCACCCACTGACTGCACCCAGCAACCCCACCCTGCCTGCCCCCTCACCCCATCCAGCCCACCCCCTGACTCCCAGTGACCTGGCCCAGCAACCTCACCCAGTCAGCCCCTGCCCCTAAACCCCAGCCCATCTCCTGGCCCCACCCAGTAACCTCACCCCACCTCACCACAGCCCCTGGCCTCACCCTGACCTCTGCCCCCAGCCAGCCCACTAGCCCCACCTGCTCCTCCCAAATGGGGAACTTACCCGCCCCACCCCAGCACAGCACCCCCTCTCAGTCCACTCCCCGCCCCTTACCAGTGAGGCCGTGCGGATGGTGGCGAAATGGTCCCGGTTGCGGCAGTACGCACGGCGCCGGGCAGCCGATGAGGAGCTCTGGGGCTCCATCTCCGGCTGGTACGGGTCGTCGTACAGGTTATCGTGGCCCTGGGGGGCGATGGAGAGAGAGGGGATGGGACCCAGGAGTGCTGACTCTCGCCCCCCCCCCCCCCCCCCCCCCCCCCCCCCCCCCCCCGGGGCCGGGGCTTAACCCCGGGATGCCCCACTCCCCCCCCCAGCACCGGGGCTAGACCCCAGTCTGGACTCCCCGTGCGGTACCGGCAGGCGGTGGATGACGGAGCTGTTGGAGGTGACCGTGTGCTCCCCCTCCTGCATCATGGCGATCTCGGCTCCCTCGTCCTCGTCGGAGGCGTCCGCCAGGCTGTTGACGCTGCTGCTCTGACTGCTGGCGCTGATGGACATGCTGGGCACCGAGTGGCTGCTCTCCATGCTGTTAACGGTGCCCGTCCGGTGCCCGAACTGCTCCACTTCCTGGGGGAGGGACCAGAGACAATGCAGCCCCCGCTGGGGTGGGGTGGGGTGGGCTGGGCACACGGGGACCCCTCACTCGGTGCTGGGACACGGCCCCTCAGGGGTGGTTATTTGGGGACCCCCGGCCCAGTGCCGTGGGCCCTCAGGGGGGCAGGGCGGGGCACACGGGGACCCCTGGGCTCTCACCTCCTCCTCGTCGGGCGCCTCGGCGTTGGGGCCGTTCTGCGCCTCCTGGAAGAGGATTTTCTTCATCTTGCGGTACTGCAGGTTGTCCAGCTCCCGCACGGCGTCCTTGGTGCGCTGGATCAGGTCCATGATCACCGTCTGGGGCCGCTCCCGCAGGAGGAACCGGTGCTGCTGGGGCACGGGGGCGGGGTCAGTGAGGGATGCTGCCCCGGGGACCCCAAGGACCCCCCCGCCCCCCAGCCAGCCAGCCGGGGAGCCCGGCTGGGGGTTACCTTGAGCAGCACGTCCGAGGTGGGCCGGTCTTGGGGGATTTTCTGCAGGCAGGAGTCCACGAAGTTCCGGAAATACTCGGACCTGGGGGGCAGAAGCAGATAAACAGAAGGCGGGGCAGGGCCATCCTTTGACGGCAGTGAGCCAGCTGGGGCAAGCTGGCTAACCCCAGGGGAGGGCAATTCACCACCAGGGAGCGAACTCAGGAGTCCTGGCCCCACCTGCACTCTAACCACGGGACCCCACTCCCCTCCCAGAGCCGGGGAGAGAACCCAGGAGTCCTGGCTCCCAGCCCCCCTGCTCTAACCACCAGCCCCCACTCCCCTCCCAGGGCTGGGAGAGAACCCAGGTGCCCTTCGCTGGGGCGCCCACAGCCAGGGGCGGCTCTATGTTTTTTGCCGCCCCAAGCACAGCAGGCAGGCGGCTTTCGGTGGTGCGCCTGCGGGAGATCCGCCGGTGCCGCGCCATCGGCATCCCCGCCGCCTAATTGCCGCCGAGGCCACGGGAGCGGTGGAGCTCCCGCAGACATGCCGCCCTCCCAGCGACCGGCAGGCCGCCCCCGGCACAAACTTGCTGAGCTGGCGCCGCCCCTGCCCGCAGCCAGGGCGGGGACT